TGTCCCACATTTTCATGAATAACAACTGTATCAACAAAAAGACAGATGTTAAACAACTGAGTGTCATTTACTCATATTTGCTAAACTGCGAAAAATTGGAGAACTTACATATCTCCCCAAATTTCAACTCTTCACAACCATAATTAGAATCTGTGTTTTGGCCGATTCCACCAGTAAATTTCATTCCACTCAAAATATAATAATTCTCTCCTCACGATTTATTAATAATTGTTAATTCAAATTCCCATTAATAATATATAGTTTATTCAACTGCCTCTGGTCGGTTTAACAAATTCTAACATAAAATTCTGAAAATCTCATCATCTGAAGTGATTTGGCAACGTTTTGGCACACGCCCACAATTCGTTCCATCTTCCAATACTGACATTGACATCCTTCGGCCTTCTGTCAAAGGGTTTCATGTCACTCATCAATTCATCATTCCATGACCACTAATTTGTGCAATCATCAGGTGGTTTCACGATGTAATGATCTAAAAATTTTTTAAATAATTTTTAATCTGTTTTAACTTGTTCTTGTCATGTTTTGTATAAGTTTGACTATTGTGCAATCTATTCAGCTCTCACCATGTTACTGGACGTTTCCCTCATCCTATACGTAAACAACAATTAGCAACATCCTCACATACTACTGTAAGTTGAGTCAATTTAAATTCATTTTACACCTTTGTTGCTACTGTTATCATTGTAATTGCAGCTCCTGATGATGATGGCAAAGTCCATTGAAAGCTAGAGAGAATTAAAAAAAGTATAAAGAGTCCTCTTTGCTTAAATCTTGTCGAAGTACCCAACAAAAGGCGGAAGCTTTAATTTTTCACCTATATATATATATATATATATATATATCTGCGGAAGGTTGGGAAATCTCGAAACTTAAGATACTCCAGACCAAAATATGTGAATTGCATGCAAGCATACCTTAGTCCCAAAGTTGATAGTTAACGAGATACAGGGTGCCAAAGTTACAATTTTATTTTCTATTTTTCCTTATTGCTTAAGAAGTATTTCAGATTTCAGCACAAAGCTCAGTCTAGGGAGGTTCTCTAGTATGAGAAACAAGAATCCGTTATTTTTTTGGCCAAACTACTAGAGGGCGCCACTTACAGCACTACTTCGGTAAATAACTTATCATAACCTTTTTGTGCTACCCTATATATGGGGTTGTCCAAAACGGACGCAGGAAAGTAAACGCATATTGAAACAAGAAAGATTGATATTCAAATGAACTTTATTTTGAAGGTTCATTTATACCATTTATGTATGGAAAAATAATATCGCTCAAGTTAATGTTCACCACGACTGGATTTACAGACGTCCAAGCGATGGTCGAAATTTTCAATGACATTTTGCAACATGGTCGGTTCTATGGCATTTATCTCGGCAATGATGTTGTTTTTGAGTTCTTGGAGGGTGGCTGGTTTGCTTACGTAGACTTTGCTATTCAAATATCCCCATAGAAAGAAGTCCAAGGGAGTCAAATCGCACGATCTTGGTGGCCGTGACACATTTCCTCTGCGCGAAATCACGCGATCACCGAAGAAGAACTGCAATCGATGGATATTGACGTTGGTTGTGTGGCATGTTGCACCGACTTGTTGGAAATAAACATCGTCCATATCCATTCCTTCAAGTTGCGTCAAAAAATAGTCCTCTATCATCACGTGATATCGCTCAGAATTGACGGTAACGGCGTCCCCGGCCGCATTTTCCAAAAAATAAGGTCCGATGATCCCTTTGGACCACAATGCACACCACACAGTCACTTTTTGATTATGCATCGGCTGCTCTTGATACTCATGGGGATTTTCGTTCGCCCAGATGCGGCAGTTTTGCTTGTTTACCGTCCCATTCAAAGTGAAATGCGATTCGTCGCTGAACATGATTTTTGATGAAAAATTGGCATCAATTTGGCGGTGTTCAAGGAGCCAATCTGAGAACGTTCGGCGCAAAAAATGGTCGGCGTGTACATTCAAATCCTTGTGGAGAATGCGGAGCAGACTGGTTCTCGAAATGCCCAATTCGATGGTTGTTTCGGGGGGTTGTTGCGACCGAAATGTTCACGAAGCGCGCCAAACGTGTTTTTTATTTTTGCACCATTTTTGTAGTGCTCTTGAATAACTTCAATCGAATAGGACTACATAGCGATCAATGGTAAACATTCAACTAACAAAATGACATGTCGGTGTCAGAAAACAAAGATGGCGTCTATGTCAAATTGACGTTTACTTTCCTGCGTTCCTATTGGACAACCCTATATAATAACTGATCGAAAAATATAATTTTCTCCTACTTTCACAACAAAAAAGGTTCACGTGCTAGAGTGCCTAAAGCTCATAGTTTTCGAGATATTTGTTTTTAAAGGTTCCAATGCATTATTTGTACCATGATGATAAAACATTTTTATAACGTAGTATTCAAGTTGCTTTGGATAATATCTGAGTAGCGTTGCTATGGTTTTTAGAAATAGCAAATAGGTATGGCAACAAAACTAATAAACAGGAATAATAACTACAAAATAAGCACCACCTTGCCTAACACACTCTCGAGCTCGACGAACTAATCCATGCACACTGTCATTTTTCATTTCCTGGCTATGGTGAAAAATTCTTTGTCGACAATTTCCACTGTCGTATTGTAAACGGGTCGTTTTAAATCATCCCAGAAGAAGAAATAAATAGCATTTGAATCTGGTGATCTAACCGGCCATGATACAGGTCCTGATCGACATATCCACTGGTCTATTTAGGTGCTCTCTAACTGATAAACTAAAATGAGGTGGAGCGCCGTCGTGCATAAACCACATATTCATGCGTGTTTTTAATGGCAGATCCTCCATCAGAGTGGGTAATTGTTCTTCAAGAAATTGTAAATACCTTTGACCATTTAGTCTAGGCGGGTAACTCAACGGGTCCTATTAAATATTGTCCTGCCCATAAATTAATTTGAAATTGTACTTAGTGGCGGGTTTGTAATATTGCATGAGCATTTTTGTCTGCATAGATGTGAAGATTATGCGAGCTATTCGGTACCAGAAAGAAGCAAAAAATATGTTAACATACACTATAGGTTTTGCGTGAAGTGTACGGTTAAGCCTACATGACACCTGGCACCCCGGTCGGTAATCGTGGCATTACAAAGACTACCTATATGGCAACGGATTTTGTCTATGCTATATTACTAATAATAATTCTTCAGAGAACTCTTGTGTATGTTGTTGTCCGAATTCATTTCCTTTCTATATACCTATAATTATAGTATACCATATGGGGAAGAAAAAGACCCCTGATATTTACCGTCAAACATAATATATCAGAAAAGATAATAAAAACCCTAACGGATCCCTCAAAGGGAGCTGGCAAAAGCCGCAAACTCGGTTTCCCTTCTAAGACGATGGCCGGGAACTTAATTCTGACGTATGCCTCTCGGAGAGAATCCCCTTTCCCCCAAAGTGCGTTTAGGCAATCCCCTTTAGTGAAAGGGATAGCTCGAGTGCCCTCAGGTGTTTATTGAAACCGACCAAAAGCAGCCCTTGTCGGGAGAAACCCACCGAAGGATGAGCGATAGGGTATTAGGAACGGAATGTTGCTTGCGATGAGTCTAAGAAGACATTTATTTATTTCTGGATATTTGTCATGATACGGTACAAAAAAATAAAATAATCGTGTCGGGTAAACGAGCTCAGTATTTCCGGTGCATCCTTATTTGTATTTTCAAAGGATAGGAGTCTATAAGCCGACTATGATCAGATGAGACAATGATAGACTTATCACCTGATCTGTTTGGTTTATTCGGTGTTACTAAGGAAAAAACCAGCGTAATTGCATGAAAAGCGACCTCTTTGAGAACTGACATCCATCATATCAATTTGAGATTTGTGGGTCACACTTTGGATATCCCCAATGGTTTTCAAAAGCTTCTTTTCATATCCAGCATTCAATTTGTACAACAAAATTCCTCCCACTCTTAAAACCAACTCTCTCACTGCTTTCAAACCTGGAATCAATGAGCTGATACTGACCCCTGTGTTTCGTCTATGTATGTATTAATCATTTTTTCCCATGAATTTATTCTAATTTGACTCAATTTTATTTTAGTTTATGCTAAGTACTATTGCTTTTTATTGTACTCCTGCAGCTCTGGTCGGCATGAAAGATCAGCATTTCCGCCTGATTGTCCGCCAGGTGAAAATAAAAGCTTTTCTTTTGTGACGGGAAAAAGTTTGACATTTCATTTCTGTTGACAGGTAACAAAATAAAATGAAATTTATGAAATTACTTTTTTCCCCGGGAAAAAATGAGTACTTTTTCACCGGATATTGTATAAACGATTTAGTTGGTAATAACTTTTGTGAGGCTACTTGGCTACTTTTACTAATTCCGGTGGAGTCAAAGAAAACTGGGATTCAGACATTTTTTACTGTATATTATAAAAAATAATTTCTGAACAACCACAAAGTTCGCAATTTTTTAATCAAATCACAAAGTTAAATTGCCAGCTATTTGATTACTTTAAAAATTTCCTCAGCAGCGCAGGTCTAACTGTCGCTATAAGTACAACATAGCCTGCTTATTTCAAAATTCAGATTCCACGTCGATAATTTTCCGACTTAGGGGAGACTCGGGCAGAAGGAACCACTTTAAGTTGTCAACTTTTTAAATCGTTTACTAAATTCTAATTATTATTATTCTTATGGGCAATAAAACTCTATTACATTTAGAAACATAATATAATTATGTTACGAATATATAATTATTGTAATATATCTTAAAAAACATTAAAACAAAAGTTGCTTTTGATTCCTTTTGCCCACATATGAGGGAAAGAAGAACCAATGCCTTGGGCAAAAGGAATCAGCATATGAAATACATATGGGCAAAAAGAACATTACTTCAAACATAACTAAAAGTAGAATTCTATTAACAATTCTTTATTTCAAGGAACTCAAAACTGATAATTTGCATTTGTCGCAAATATAGACACCTCTGTTGTAATCAGCACATAATTGATGAGCCCAGTTTTGACACATATTGCACTCAATCCATGTTTCGCCAGGTCTAGAGTTGCCAAAAGTATCTCCACAGACGAGGCATGGTACATTTTCTTCATTGGGGTCCGTTTTATGTACCGGTGGCTTCGGGTACTGCAATTTAGGTCGATCCAAATTTGAACTGCTAGGTTTCTTTGCACGTAATTTTTTATTTTTCTGATTTCTCAACTGTTCTCTAATAGGTGTAGATGTTAAAATTTCTGACTTCTGTGTTCTACGTTTTCTTTTAGAATCATCCTGTTTAACTATTGGCAAAGGCTGAATTGCAGTTAATGGTATAAAATAATTTGAATTTTTGTAAGTGGATTGGAAGGAGCACGATGGAATAGGAGAAGAACGATTCTCTTTCCCATGATTCTCATTTTCAAGAGAGCAGAGGGATATAGGCGAATGAGGAGGTGTGCGATGTTCGTCGTTACGCTGTGTGTCTTCAGCAGCTTCATGCCTCGAACATGACGGAATAGGTGAACTTGGAGATGCAGATTGACCATTACTAGCGGCAAGGTTTTGAGCCTTGTTGGCATCATATTCCTTTGCTGTGACTTGAGAAGGAACAAAATCCAAGTCACTAAAAACATCAATATTGCCATCGAGTATTCCTGTCTTTTTGAATCCACTTATTGCATTTTGAGGAGTAGCGCCTTGTAAATAAGCAGATCCAAATATTGCTCCTAATTCGTAGAAAGTAATATGTTGTGCAGGATGTTGCTTTTGCCATTTATCAACCTCTCTTTCAAAATATGTTCCAATGGGCCCATATACCGCAACATCAAGCGCAACACCTCCAAAGATCGATGTGAAATATGATTATCCAATATAAGTAAACATTTATGTTCTGGAGACGGTCTAACAGATTTTACAAAAAATTTCATCCATTCTAAGAAGATCTCACTAGTTATCCAACCATTGTCGCTTACAAAATCTACAGTTCCAGGTGGAGTGCCATTTAAGTATCTTGGATTTCTTTTCTTCCGGGGAAATATGAGTGCCGGAGGGATAAATTTTCCAGTAGCGGAACAGCAACATATGGCGGTTACCAGCTGCCCCCTCTCGGCCGATGAAATTGAGCCCACTTGTTTTTTTCCCTTCAAAGAGATAACTTTTGGTGGCCGCTTTGCAGACGTTTGAATACCGGTCTCGTCCACGTTGTATATGTTGTGAACATCGAATAAATATTTTTGCCGAATGTTATTTAGATTATCAAAAAATAACTGCACTTGTGGCCTGTTAAATCCACAAGCCCGGGCAATGCTTGTAGATTCTGGAGTTCTAAGGCTTAATTCGGGATGTCGCTTCATAAAATTTGAGTACCATTGCTCCCCAGCTGATCCATTACGAAAATTATGTGGCACATTATTTCGAGTTGCGAACTCGAATGCTAAACTGCATAAGTCTTAAACGCCCCATAAAAACGGGCGTCCATTTCTTGAATATGTTGTACAAGTTGCTGTTCCATATCTCCAGAAAAAACTGGTCTAAACCGTCCTAATTGTTTTTTGGGAGACTGCTTCAAAAAATGTTTCCGTAAGGTGGGATATGGAATTCGAAACTGCAGAGCGGCACCGCGAATAGATGTTCCTTTTTGGTTAATCGCATTTATTGCGCGATTCATTATATTTTCGTCCCATCCTTGGGCTCTCTCTGTTTTTCGCTTATAATTGAAAACCATTATTCTGAAACAATATTCAATTTTTAAAAAAATTAATGTTCAACGAAATATCGGGAAAAAGGAGCCGGGCAAATAGAACCGGTTCTTCTTGCCCGGTTCTTCTTGCCTAAAAAGTATGCAACACAAAATACCTGTTCGTTATGAATGTCAAACGCTTGAACAGCGCGACAATTTGTAAGGTTAGAGTCTACGCAAAACTTCATTTATCGCCACAAAATTTAATGCTTTAACTTATAACAATACTCAAATAATTTCCATCTATTTAAACCATGATCAACAATTCAGGACTGATACATTTTCTAAATTAGCTGTAAAAACATGAAAAATAAGCTTACCGGTATGGGTATCCAAACAAACACTGGAGAAACGCGGTACCTGCCAGAAGTAAATAGGAGATAGAGGCGGGAATTTTGAAACAAAAAAAAATTTGAGCTGGTTCTTTTTGCCCATATGGTTCTTTTTGCCCGAGTCTCCCCTAAATATTTCAATAATATAAGTTTTCAATATTATGTACTATACAAAGTGAAAAATACTAGGTCTTAGCTAAAATCTAGTACTTTTTCCAGTTTATAATAAGTAACTATTTATTATTATTGACATATGCATTTTTAGCTAACAACAACATTTTTTCTTTTTCATTTGGTACTTGATTCTTTTTTAAAACCCAAGGTTCGCAATATTATCATTCTCGCACAAAAGTCATCTATTGGAATACTTAACTTGAATTACTTCGTACGCAATTGGCGAGGAAGTATTGTAGTCGCGAAAACATTCGAAGATGAGACATGTTTTTCGGATATTATATAACATATACATCACGAAAAATCATGGCTGTCTGTCTATCGGTTTGTCCGCTAATCTCTGGGCCGCCTTTAACTTGGAAAGTCTTGCTGGAGCTGGAACTTTTAAGCAAAATATTACTTTTTTGTCAAGGACGAAAAAGCTTTGTAGTTTTTGAAAGCAATAAAATTCGCATGAACTTCTTTTGTTGACGTTTTAGAGGCTTCATTTTCAAAAAAGTGTTTTCAGGATTAAGAATTTGTGGTCAAGCGTTGTAGGGGGTGGGGAAGGTTATATCTCATTTTCTTATCGTTAGTATACTTATAGGATTCTAGCCCCGATAGTTCTACGCAGCTATTAGACATATTTCATACATACATTTCCTCGCACATTTGCCATATGCTCGACAGACAAATCAAAATGCGTGCAAAAATAGGATAACGTGTTAAGAAAATTCCAAAAGATTTTCGATCAAAATATCTCGCTTGCTTATACGAGGGAAGTTAGGAATTGAAAAACCTCGCCGTTCTGAAAATCTTAGCCCGTACATCAATGTATATACAGGATGTTCCAGAACTAACACGCCTGAGTGATACGTGAGGTAGATTGGCTTCAGATCAATCAGATAAAATCAACATGATCTTAGTGAAAGTTTTCTAGTTTTAGAGATATTGCCACTTTTAAGTTTTTTCAAAAAATCCCTACTTTTTGCCCATTTTTTTTGCCTGTTATGGCGATAAAGAGCTTAGTTTGATGCCTGCAAAAACAATAAATAAAAATGAATGGGTTACTGTCTTAGACATTTGTTGAAATAAAAAGTAATCACAGCAACTACAAAGTTGTAATTTGGACACAAAAGACAGCTGCATTTATTATTTTTCATTGACTTCAATGCAAAACTTGGATTATTCAGTTTTTAGTAAAAAGAACCTACAAATGTTTTACTATTTTGGAAAGAGCATTCAATAGCTAATTTTTAAGGTCATTTGCTGATTCAGTCTGGTACATTTTTTCACAGAATTAGTAAAACTTTAGTAATGGTTTTCGCATTGAAACCAAATGTAATAATTCAGCTTTTTAGCATACCGTGAAAGTTTTAAGTGAAATGAATATTCCTTATAGCCACAACAGGCAAAAAAGGAGCAAAACGTAGTGATTTTTTGAAAACTAGAAAACCTTTACTAAGGTCATGTTGATTCCATCTGATTGATCTGCAGTCAAGCTACCTCCCGTGACACTCTGACGTGTTATTTCTGGGACACCCTGTATACGTTTTCACACATGTTGCCCCTAACATACAAACATTTCATCTCTGCCACGTGACGCGTTCTGATTAAGATTTAATATTTGTAAGAAAATATACAAGTGAAACACCATGATTTCGGCTGTCAACAAAAACGAGCACAGGCATTTAATTGTAAAAAGAATAGCCTCGTTTTCTGTCGGTCAGTGACCGCTACAATTTCTTATCTATGCTGTACTCATGCTCAGTATTTTCTTTAGAACTACACATATATATTGGATAATTCACACGCCAATCACCTGAATGTTTTTCTTTCAATTGATTTGTTGTAACGTGACCCTGGGTACAGAGCAAAAACTTCTACAAGTCATGTTTTGAAACAAACTACAGAAAATATCGTCAAGTAGATTGAATCTATACTTCCTCACACCTCCGAAACAACCTCTAATACAATTTTCCATGTATTGCAATGACTTCAAAAACACAAAGGTTTTGTCAGTACCAGCAATGCACGATTTTCATTAAACAAATTTCCTCAGATTGCAGCAATGAACGTGTCCGCACTCGGGAGCTTAACTTCTTTGCAGCCCTAGTGTAATACTGCTTATAATGTCTCATAAGTACACAATATAGTATAAAATTAAGTCACGAAATCAAATATCCTCATTGAGAGACACTACAAGCATAACGCTCATATATGTAATGTATATTTATATAGATAATTTCGCGCTCACCTCGTATGTCGCTGCGCCTCTAGCTAATATACCTTTTAATAAGTTACACTAATTAAATTCAAAATATGCATGTGTGACCGATAGATATTTTTCTTACTAGGAAATGGATGATATGTGAAACATGTCTAATACATAGATGCGCGGTGTTAATACACTAACATTACGTTACAGCCTCATCCACTAGCGTGGGAAGTAAAACATGTGTTCGAAACTTTCAGATACATTGTGAAGAATTTTCCAGATGTAAAAGTTTCAACAGAAATTTGCAATTACACAAAAACGCGATGTGCTGCTCGAAAATTGTTTGAGGATGAATTCATGTTTAGAAACTTGGGAGAGTAAGCTATTTTGGTCATGGCGCACTGCCGTTACAACCATCTCTGAAGACTTAGTAGCATTACCTGATCATCAATCAAAATTGATGAAGAGGTTACTAAGTTGGATAGAATGACAGACCAATAGACTAAAGTGTCCGACAAAATAGATTTTCTCAATAAACTTTCTAGCTTAACATTTCAAAAGTAAAACCTATACTCGTGGATTTTCGTTCTATATCCCTCAAGATACACGGTAAGCACTTCTCTGACACCATTCTATAGACCTTCTCAGTCCTGAAAGCCGCATTTGGATCAACTGCACCGTGCATCCACAAATTAACTCTGGAATCCGCAGAGAGTTCGAGAGAAGTGTTTTGTTGCTGCAGAAACCTTAGCTCGGTATAGGGATATAGGGATTGGAACGGATTAGAATCGAAATTGTATTGGAGCTTTTCTTTTCTCGCACCTTAGACGTTTCTCGAGAACATGGATGTCGCAGCTCTACTTCGTACGTAAAAGCGAATATTTTAGAAAACTAGATAATACGATTTTCGATGTTTATGACAGGTACAGGCAAAGCAGTTCATGAAGCACCAGAAGCCTAGAATTAAAGCTATAGCTTCCATGCAAAGTCCCATGGGAACGCCGGTCAAAAATATTTTATCACCATTATCTATTAATTTCAGGCTGGTGATTTCGAGAAGCGTGGCTTAATGAAAACATTTCTAGCCAAGCTGTATCTATAGAAGGCTACCAGCTTTACCGTAGAGATCGTTTCGGTAGGGGTGGAGGGGTGGGCTTCTATATACATATAAGAAATAATTT